AAATACCTTTAAGATGGCACATACATAATGGTTCTTTGAAAGGAACTGGCAATGAAACTGTTATTTGGCATGACAAAGGATTAACCCCTCCTATGCCACATTTGTTGGGAGACACAGATTCTCAAGGATATTTATGGAAATTATTAGCATCTAGGGAGTCAATTAAAACCTGGATTGGCAATATATCTATCAATGTTCTTAATACTGTTGCACCTATTAGTGTAAATCGTCATATTAATGCTGCTCGGTATATTCAAGCTTGTGTGAAAATTCCTTGTTACTTTATCAGGAGATATGACTAGAATTCTAGTACAGGGGTTTTGACTTGTTCTTCAAATTGTACTTTACAACATTGTATAAATTTTACCTGGTGGAAAACTTTTAACCAAACCCGAGACAGTTTGTATTTTCTTAAAGCACATCCTGAGATTTGGTTACCTGTTAATTTAACTCGGCCCTGGACCGAATCTGCGGGAGTAATGCTGATCTACAATGCCTTGACTGATTTGACCCATTGAATGAAGAGAATGATTGGACTGATAATATGCACAGTGATTGGATTCGTAGCTGTAGCATCTACTGCAGCTGTGGAGGGAGTTGCTTTGTAACAAGAAATACAAACAGCAGACTTTGTTCAAGGGTGGCATAAAAGTTCACATCTGTTGTGGCAACAACAATATGACATGATGCTCAGATAGTTGAAGACATCGCCAACTTACAACAAACAGTGTTGTGGATGGGAGATCAGATATTTGTGTTAGCTACTTGAGTTTTGGTTGAACGTGATTGGAACACCTCTTATTTTTGCATTACTCCTGGTCCATATAACGTTAGTAAGGATTGGAAAAAAATTAGAAATGTATTAATTGGACATAAAAATGTATCTTTAGAAATTCAGTTATTGGAATATCAAATTGGTGAAACTTTCAGTAGACAATTACCCAAACCTACTGGTAATGAAATTTTTCAGGGAATTGCTAAGAGACTGTCTTCTATTAACCCTTTGGAACAAGCAAAAGCTTTATTATCTTTAAGCATTGATATTGTTACTCTATTAATCATTATATTGTTGTTTGCATTTTTGTCTTCTGGTGATGAAACCAAAGACTAATGATTATGCAAGAGCAGCATGATGTTATGGCAGTGGTTCAACATATTAGAGAGCAAAATAAAATTTAAAAGGGGGATATGAAGGAGCCATGAGAGGAGCACTGTGTCTCGTGTCATGTATCTGTCTAGGACAGTGCGCAAACGTCTGTCCTAGCTGGTTCTCATAAACCGCTTCCTAACTGCAAACGGTAAGGAATTTGGGGGAGCAGCTGCAAACAGTGTTTCCCTGGTAGAAAGTAAATCAAAAGCGGCATGGGCTGAGATAACGGAACTCACTCTCAAGGCTATGAGAAATTCAAGCGTGGGACTAGCAAACTTATCTGGGAACACTGCCAGGATTCAGTACATAAAAATAAAGTGCTGTGGGCCATCAAGGCTGCTGTAGTTTGTACCGTCTGTGTCTATTTTATGCTGCAGTCCTGTATTGTCTGTGTGTGTGTGTGTGTGTGTGTGTGTGTGTGTGTGTATGCCTGTTTGGTTCCATGTTCATTCTCCCTGCTCAAGAAGCCGCAGCATCAAGGTCTGTCAGCTAGCCTTTATGAATCTCTCCCACTGGTCCTAGGGAATTTCCGGGGCTGCCCCTCCTATCCCAAAGTCTATTTTGGAGGCTTTTTAGGGGCTCTGTGGATTGGTTTTGCTCCAATTGCTGATCTGTTATGCTCCCTCCTTGGTTTGTCCCATTGTAGGGGATTCAGGTCACATTATCTCCCCACCATGAGTCCCCATTATTGTCTTCAGTCACAGTATGCTCCAGTTAGGCATCAACATGTCTTGAGCCGCTGGTGGTCCTACAGGCCACTCTGTGCCTTAGTACCTCCATAGAGGGACATCATCCTCTGGGCTTGGTGTGCCAATATGGATTCTAGTCTGATAGTCCCTTTCTCTTTTTCCTTCTTGGTTTGCTTCCGTGTGGGCATGGTAAGTCGTCTCCTTTCCCTCACCTGAAAGTT